GACAGCCGCGGGGCCGCGCGAGAGCGGGCGAAATGCCGACCTCGCCCAAGCGGCGCGGCGTTTGCGAATGAAGGTGGCAGTGGTGTGTCAACGCAACGCACGCTTCGCCTTCGCAGCGCCCAGCGGAAGTTGTGCCGTTCCTGCCCATGCGCGGCCCGCGCACTCCTCTCTTCGCCAACTCGTCGGAAGCGGGGCCGCGCGCGAGCGCCTTCGATTTGCGGGGTGGGAACGCATTCCAAATCCCGAAGTTCAAATCCCGATATCAAGTCTCGTGTTGAACGAAGGATTGCAAAAAACCCGAAGGATTGCAAAAAAAACCAAGGATTGCAAAAAACGAAGGATTGCAAAAAAAACCTTCGAACGAAGGATTGCAAAAAAACGAAGGATTGCAAAAAAAACGAAGGATTGCAATCCTTCGTTCGAGCGGATCAGAATTAGCGGGGCCCTCTGGCTCGCTCGACCTGGTTAACTTGACGCTACTCGTTCTCTGCTATACTCTACTCTCGTATGTTCTACTGTACTCTGTCCTACTCTGCGCTACCGCACTCTAGTCTGCTCAACCCTACTCTGCTCATCTGCTCTCCTCTACTCTAATATACTCTGCTCTGCTCTACTATACGTCTGAGTTTGACGATTGGTGGACGATGCTTGGGACGCCATTGGAATAGCCAGAGCCTCGAATGCCGTTCGCGGGAGCTCGCCCAGAGCTTGCGTGCGTGGGAAGTCCCAAACAAACAAAATTAGCCGGACGAAGGACCCAACCATATGCAGGTGTGAGTACCGCAAGTGTGATTCACTTTCTCGGTGGTGATCCCTATGAGGCAACGAACCGTGCTAGGGGTGTGCCGAAATGAGTGGCGTGGTACACAACGCGAACGAAAACGAACAACAGAATGCGGACTGCGCCACGGGGACCTTCGGTGGGGCCCCGTATGGGGCCACGAAACGCTGTACTGGTTGAGGGAGACGCATGCGCACTGCGCCACGGGGACCTTCGGTGGAGTTCCCTATGGGGCACGAAACGTGTGAGGGGTGTGCCGAAAAATGAGTGGCGGGGACGCATGCGGAATGTGCCACTGTGACCTTCGGCGGAGCTCCTATGGGGCCACGAAACGTGTGAGCGGTGTGCCGAAATGAGTGGCGGGAACGCATGCGAACTGTGCCACTGGGACCTTCGGCGGAGCTCCTATGCGGCCACGAAACGTGTGAGCGTGTGCCGAAATGAGCGGCGGGGACGCATGCGGACTGCCACTGGGACATTCGGCGGGGCTCCTATGGGGCCACGAAACGACTGAGGGGTGTGCCGACATGACTGGCGGGGACGCATGCGGACTGTGCCATTGGGACCGGCGGAGCTCCTATGGGGCCACGAAACGAATGAGGGGTGTGCCGACATGACTGGCGGGGACGCATGCGGACTGTGCCATTGGACCGGCGGAGCTCCTATGGGGCCACGAAACGTGTGGGGTGTGCCGAAATGGGCGGCGGGGACGCATGCGAACTGTGCCACTGGGACCTTCGGCGGAGCTCCTCTGGGGCCACCAAACGTGTGAAGGGTGTGCCGACATGAACGGCGGGGACGCATGCGAACTGTGCCACTGGGACCTTCGGCGGAGCTCCTCTGGGGCCACGAAACGTGTGAGGTGTGAGCCGATATGGGTGGCGGTGACGCATGCGAACTGTGCCACCGGGACCTTCGGCGGAGCTCCTATGGGGCCACGAAACGTGTGAGGGGTGTGCCGAAATGAACGGCGGGGACGCATGCGAACTGTGTCACTGGGAACCTCGACAGAGCTCCTATGGGGCCACGAAGCGTGTGAGGGGTATGCCGAAATGAATGGCGGGGACGCACGCGGACTGTGCCACTGGGACCTTCGGCGGAGCTCCTACGGGGCCACGAAACGTGTGCGGGGTGTGCCGAAATGAATGGCGGGGTCGCATGCGCACTGTGCCACTGGGACCTTCGGCGGAGCTCCTATGGGGCCAGGAAGCGTGTGAGGGGTGTGCCGAAATGGGCGGCGGGGACGCATGTGAACTGTGCCACCGGGACCTACGACGAGCTCCATGGGGCTACGAAACGTGTGAGGGGTGTGCCGACAAGAGTGGCGGGGACGCGTGCGAAATGTGCCACGGGGACCTTCGGCAAAGCTCCTCTGGGGCCACGAAACGTGTGAGGGGTGTGCCAAAATGAGTGGCGGGGACGCATGCGGACTGCGCCACGGAGACCTTCGGTGGAGTTCCTTATGGGGCCACGAAACGTGTGAGGGGTGTGCCGAAATGAATGACGGGACGCATGCGGACTGTGCCACTGGGACCTTCGGCGGAGCTCCTATGGGGCCACGAAACGTGTGAGGGGTGTGCCGAAATGAGTGGCGGGGACGCATGCGGACTGTGCCACTGGGACCTTCGGCGGAGCTCCTATGGGGCCACGAAACGTGTGAGGGGTGTGCCGACATGAATGGCGGGGACGCATGCGAACTGTGCCACTGGGACCTTCGACAGAGCTCCTATGGGGCCACGAAGCGTGCGAGGGGTGTGCCGAAATGAGCGGCGGGGACGCATGTGAACTGTGCCACTGGGACCTACGACGAGCTCCATGGGGCCACGAAACGTGTGAGGGGTGTGCCGACATGAATGGCGGGGACGCATGCACACTGTGCCACTGGGACCTTCGGCGGAGCCCCAATGGGGACACGGCACGTGTGAGGGGTGTGCCGAAATGACTGGCGGGAACGCATGCGAACTGTGCCACTGGGACCTTCGGCGGAGCTCCTATGGGGCCACGAAACGTGTGAGGGGTGTGCCGAAATGAATGGCGGGGACGCATGCGAACTGTGCCACTGGGACATTCGGCGGAGCTCCTCTTGGGCCACGAAACGTGTGAGGGGTGTGCCGAAATGAACGGCGGGGACGCATGCGAACTGTGCCACTGGGACCTTCGGCGGAGTTCCTCTGGGGCCACGAAACGTGTGAGGATTGTGCCGAAATGAATGGCGGGGACGCATGCGAACTGTGCCACTGGGACCTTCGACGGAGCTCCTCTGGGGCCCCGAAGCGTGTGAGGGGTGTGCCGACATGAATGGCGGGGACGCATGCGAACTGTGCCACTGGGACCTTCGGCGGAACTCTTATGGGGCCACGAAACGTGCGAGGGATGTGCCGACATGAGTGGCAGGGACGCATACGAACTGTGCCACTGGGACCTTCGGCGGAGCTCCCTATGGGGCCCCGAAGCGTGTGAGGGGTGTGCCGACATGAATGGCGGGACGCATGCGAACTGTGCCACTGGGACCTTCGGCGGAGCTCCTATGGGGCCACGAAACGTGTGAGGGGTGTGCTGGCATGAATGGCGGGGACGCATGCGAACTGTGCCACTGGGACCTTCGGCGGAGCTCCTATGGGGCCACGAAACGTGTGAGGGGTGTGCCGCAATGAGCGGCGGGGACGCATGCGGACTGTGCCACTGGGACCTTCGGCGGAGCTCCTATGGGGCCACGAAACATGTGAAGGGTATGCCGAAATGAGTGGCGGGGACGCATGCGAACTGTGCCACTGGGACCTTCGGCGGAGCTCCTATGGCGCCACGAAACGTGTGAGGGGTGTGCCGAAATGACTGGCGGGGACGCATGCGAACTGTGCCACTAGGATATTCGGCGGAGCTCCTATGGGTCCACGAAACGTGTGAGGGGTGTGCCGAAATGACTGGCGGGGATGCATGCGAACTGTGCCACTGGGACCTTCAGCTGAGCTCCTCTGGGGCCACGAAACGTGTGAGGGGTGTACCGAAATGGGTGGCGGGGACGCATGCGAACTGTGCCACTGGGACCTTCGGCAGAGCTCCTATGGGGCCACGAGACGTGTGAGGGGTGTGCCGAAATGAATGGCGGGGACTTGTGCGAACTGTGCCACTGGGACCTTCGGCAGAGCTCCTATGGGACCACGAAACGTGTGACGTCGATGCTGACGATGATGATGATGATGATGATGATGATGATGATGATGATGATGATGATGATGATGATGATGATGATGATGATGACAATGATGATGATGAGGATGATGATGATATGATGATGATGATGATGATGATGGTGATGATGATGATGAGGATGAGGATGAGGATGAGGATGAAGATAAGGATGAGGATGAGGATGAGGATGAGGATGGTGATGATGATGGTGATGATGATGATGATGAGGAGGATGAGGATGAGGATTAGGATGAGGATGAGGATGAGGATGAGGATGAGGATGAGGATGAGGATGGTGATGATGATGATGCTGCTAATGATGATGATGGTGGTGATGATGATGATGATGATGATGATGATGACGATGATGATGATGATGATGATGATGATGATGATGATGATGATGATGATGATGATGATGATGAGAGGAGGGGACGGGGAGGAGAAGGATGAGGAGACGCGGGGACCGTCTCTTCAAAACGAGGACCCAACAACACAGGTTGGTTGGGAAAAAAACCTGGTTCAGCGAGTCTGCACCTCGCCTTCGAAATACTCCCCCCGTTCAGGGTGGTCAGAGGTCTGCTCCCGACCCTAACCCAGCTGGCCGACACTTCCCAAAGCGTGAATCACTCTGCGAATCGGAAGACAGATCGCTCGCTCTGGTCCCGAACGACCGATGAATCAGCGACCCGTGATACACTCTCGAGCCCTCATCGGCAGTTCCAGGTTCCAGTGCTTCTGTCGAATTTCTATGAAGACAGTGGAAGTAGCCTGCGGTCTGGACACGCGTGGACATGCACAGGCCAGACCCTACAACAAAATTCTAAAGGCATCAGAGCGAAAAGACTCACCGCGAGAACGACCAGAGAGTCCGAGAACCGTCTAGGTGTCCCTCATAGGCACTATGTGAGTCATTCCTGCACGTCCTTTATCAATGCAAGCCCATGAAGCCCTCTCTTGGCCGTTCCTCCTGCTGAACACTTGCCTGACGTCTCAGGGGGCGGAGTCACACCAAAAGGCGCCCGATATATTACTGTATGAAAGGCGACCCGCCGGGACCAGCTGGCTGGAAGGTGGCCTCTTGCTGCACCTCTGTGCCAAGCTGATCGCCCTCGGGAGGATCCACTGTTTGCGTGGTGGCACAGCCGACTGGCTGGGCCGTGGCCTCCTGCAGCGCTCTGGTCAGGTCGCCTGCTTCTGCAGCTGCAAAAAGAGCGCCCTGGAGCTCCATCCGCACCCCCTCCGTGGCAAGCTTCTCCTCGGGAGGTGCTGGCGACTGAACAGCGGGGTCGGCCGGCTGGGACGTGGCCTCCTGCAGCACTGTGATCAGGTCGCCGGCTTCTGCAGCGGCAAACAGAGCGCCCTGGAGCTCCATCCGCACCCCCTCCGTGGCAAGCTTCTCCTCGGGAGGTGCTGGCGACTGAGCAGCGGGGTCGGCCGGCTGGGACGTGGCCTCCTGCAGCACTGTGATCAGGTCGCCGGCTTCTGCAGCGGCAAACAGAGCGCCCTGGAGCTCCATCCGCACCCCCTCCGTGGCAAGCTTCTCCTCGGGAGGTGCTGGCGACTGAGCAGCGGGGTCGGCCGGCTGGGACGTGGCCTCCTGCAGCACTGTGATCAGGTCGCCGGCTTCTGCAGCGGCAAACAGAGCGCCCTGGAGCTCCATCCGCACCCCCTCCGTGGCAAGCTTCTCCTCGGGAGGTGCTGGCGACTGAACAGCGGGGTCGGCCGGCTGGGACGTGGCCTCCTGCAGCACTGTGATCAGGTCGCCGGCTTCTGCAGCGGCAAACAGAGCGCCCTGGAGCTCCATCCGCACCCCCTCCGTGGCAAGCTTCTCCTCGGGAGGTGCTGGCGACTGAGCAGCGGGGTCGGCCGGCTGGGACGTGGCCTCCTGCAGCACTGTGATCAGGTCGCCGGCTTCTGCAGCGGCAAACAGAGCGCCCTGGAGCTCCATCCGCACCCCCTCCGTGGCAAGCTTCTCCTCGGGAGGACCCACTGCTGGATTAGCGGCGGGATCGGCTGGTTTGGAAGTGGCATCTCGCAAAACAGTGGCCAAATCTCCTGCCTCTGCTGCGGCAAACAGAACGCCCTGGAGTTCCATCCGCACCCCCTCCGTCTGCACCCTCTCCGCGCTAGGCTGTGCCTCTTTGAGAGGATCGGCTGCTGGCTCGACCGCTGGTGGACATGCCAGCAAAGGCCCATCTCGAGCTGCCTCCGCCGACTCGGACTCCATCGCCTCTGCGATGTCAATGATGCGGCCCACTTCGCCCGAGCGAATACCATTCATGAGCGCGTGGCTCCCTTTTGTGAGTGCTCCCTTTGTGCTCCTCTTCTTCAGCTTCTGCAAGATGTATTATTTATCATTCCAGATCGCTCGCTCATAAACCAGACTTGTCGAGCGAACCGGGCCCATGACCTCAACGTCCTCATTTGTGGAGCGCGCAGAGCCAACCAAGGCGCACACTACAGCCAACCGTGGGCAACCTTCGTCCCGACAAAGTACGCCCGAGGGAACTCACATTGTCGAATGCCTCTTCCTCCCCGCCTTCCTTCCTTCAGGAGCACAAGTGGAGGAGCAAAAAAAACAATAGCCTGACGAAGGACCCAACCATATGCAGGTGTGAGTACCGCAATTGTGATTCGCTTTATCAGTGATGATCCCTATGAGGCAACGAAGAACCGTGCTAGGGGTGTGCCGAAATGAGTGGCGTGGTACACAACGCGAACGAAAACGAACAACACAATGCGGACTGCGCCACGGGAACCGTCGGTGGGGCTCCATATGGGGCCACGAAACGCTGTACTGGGTGAGGGAGACGCATGCGGACTGCGCCACGGGAACCTTCGGTGGAGCTCCTTATGGGGCCACGAAACGTGGAAGGGGTGTGCCGAAATGAGTGGCGGGGACGCATGCGGACTGTGCGACTGAGACCTTCGGCGGAGCTCCTATGGGGCCACGAAGCGTGTGAGGGGCGTGCCGAAATGAATGGCGGGGACGCATGCGAACTGTGCCACTGGGACCTTCGGCGGAGCTCCTATGGGGCCATGAAACGTGTGAGGGGTGTGCCGAAATGAATGGCGGGGACGCGTGCGGACTGTGTCACTGGGACCTTCGGCGGAGCTCCTATGGGGCCACGAAACGTGTGAGGGGTGTGCCGACATGAACGGCGGGGACGCATGCGAACTGTGCCACTGGGACCTTCGGCGGAGCTCATATGAGGCCACGAAACGTGTAAGGGGTGTGCCGACATGAATGGCGGGGACGCAAGCGAACTGTGCCACTGGGACCTTCGGCGGAGCTCCTCTGGGGCCACGAAACGTGTGAGGGGTGTACCGAAATAAATGGCGGGGAACGCATGCGAACTGTGCCACTGTGACCTTCGGCGGAGCTCCTATGGGGCCACGAAACGTGTGAGGGGTGTGCCGAAATGAATGGCGGGGACGCAGTCGAACTGTGCCACTGGGCCTTCGGCGGGACTCCTATGGGGCCACGAAACGTGTGAGGGGTGTGCCGACATGAACGGCGGGGACGCATGCGAACTGTGCCACTGGGACCTTCGGCGGAGCTCCTATGGGGCCACGAAACGTGTGAGGGGTGTCCCGAAATGAGTGGCGGGGACGCATGCGAACCGTGCCACTGGTACCTTCGGCGAAGCTCCTATGCGGCCACGAAGCGTGTGAGGGGTGTGCCGAAATGCATGGCTGGGACGCAGTCGAACTGTGCAACTGGGAACTTCGGCGGAGCTCCTATGGGGCAACGAAACGTGTGAGGGGTGTGCCGAAATGAGTGGCGGGGACTCGGCGAAGCTCCTATGGGGCCACGAAACGTGTGAGGGGTGTGCCGAAATGAACGGCGGGGACGCATGCGAACTGTGTCATTGGGACCTTCGGCGGAGCTTATATGGGGCAGCGAAACGTGTGAGGGGGGGTGCCGACATGAATGGCGGGGACGCATGCGAACTGTACCATTGGGGGGTGTGCCGACATGAATGGCGGGGACGCATGCGAACTGTGCCACTGGGACCTTCGGCGGAGCTCCTATGGGGCCACGAAACGTGTGAGGGGTGTGCCGACATGAGTGGCGGGGACGCATGCGAACTGTGCCACTGGGCCCTTCGGCGGAGCTCCTATGGGGCCACGAAACGTGTGATGGATGTGCCGAAATGAGTGACAGGGACGCATGCGAACTGCGTCACTGGGACCTTCGGCGGAGCTCCTATGGGGCCACGAAACGTGTGAGGAGTGTGCCGAAATGAATGGCGGGGACGCGTGCGAACCGTGCCACTGGGACCTTCGGCGGAGCTCCTATGGGGCCACGAAACGTGTGAGGGGTGTGCCGAAATGAGTGGCGGGGACGCGTGCGAACTGTGCCACTGAGGCCTTCGACGGAGCTCCTATGGGGCCACGAAGCGCGTGAGGGGTGTGCCGAAATGAGTGGCGGGGACGCATGCGAACTGTGCCACTGGGACCTTCGGCGGAGCTCCTATGGGGCAACGAAACGTGTGAGGGGAATGCCGAAACGAGTGGCGGGGACGCATGCGGACTGTGTCACTGGGACCTTCGGCGGAGCTCCTATGGGGCCACGAAACGTGTGAGGGGTGTGCCGACATGAACGGCGGGGACGCATGCGAACTGTGCCACTGGGACCTTCGACGGAGCTCCTATGGGGCCACGAAACGTGTGAGGGGTGTACCGAAATAAATGGCGGGGACGCGAGCGAACTGTGCCACTGGGACCTTCGGCGGACCTCCTATGGGGCCACGAAACGTGTGAGGGGGGTGCCGAAATGAGCGGCGGTGACGCATGCGGACTGTGCCACTGGGACCTTCGGCGGAGCTCCCTATGGGGCAACGAAACGTGTGATGATGTTGATGATGCTGATGTTGATGATGATGATGATGACGACGACGATGCTGATGCTGATGCTGATGCCGATGCTGATGCTGATGCTGATGATGATGCTGATGATGATGATGATGATGATGATGGTGATGGTGATGATGATGATGATGATCGCACTCCCCTGGGCGAGTCAGAGAGACGGGCCGTTCAGCTGCCTTCTGCAGCGGGCCTCCTGGCGAGGACGCCCCGCACGACGCGCCCCTTCTTGGCGATGTGCCGGGCGCGGGCGCGCAGGAGAGGCAGCAGGCATTCGGGCCCGTACCTGTGCGAGCTCCTCAAGGAGTTAAAGGTGGAAAAGAGCAGGTCGTGGACGAGAAACAAAGAAAATTATCCTGGCGAAGGGCCCAACCATACGCAATTCCGAATGCCGCCGCTGTAAGTATCGTCGTTGGTGGAACACCCGATGGGGCCACGAAGCGTGTGAGAGGTGCGCCAAATGGAGGTGGAACTGCATGCGGACCCTGCCACTGGGGCCTTCGGTGGAGCACCCTGTGGGGCCGCGAAACGTGTGAGGGGTGCGCCGAAATGGAGGTGGAACTGCATGCGGACCCTGCCATGGGGCCTCGGTGGAGCTCCCTATGGGGCCGCGAAACGTGTGAGGGGTGCGCCGAAATGGAGGTGGAACTGCATGCGGACCCTGCCACTTGGGCCTTAGGCGGAGCTCTCTATGGGGCCACGAAACGTGTGAGGGGTGTGCCGAAATGGAGGTGGAACCGCATGCGGACCGTGCCACTTGGGCCTTAGGCGGGGCTCCCTATGACGCCACGAAACGTGTGAGGGGTGCGCCGAAATGGAAGTGGAACTGCATGCGGACCCTGCCACTTAGGCCTTAGGCGGAGCTCCCTATGGGGCCACGAAACGTGTGAGGGGTGCGCCGAAATGGAGGTGGAACTGCATGCGGACCCTGCCACTGGGGCCTCAGGTGGAGCTCCCTATGGGGCCACGAAACGTGTGAGGGGTGCGCCGAAATGGAGGTGGAACCGCATGCGGACCCTGACACTTGGGCCTTCGGTGGAGCTCCCTATGGGGCCACGAAACGTGTGAGGGGTGCGCCGAAATGGAGGTGGAACCGCATGCGGACCCTGACACTTGGGCCTTCGGTGGAGCTCCCTATGGGGCCACGAAACGTGTGAGGGGTGCGCCGAAATGGAGGTGGAACCGCATGCGGACCCTGACACTTGGGCCTTCGGTGGAGCTCCCTATGGGGCCACGAAACGTGTGAGGGGTGCGCCGAAATGGAGGTGGAACCGCATGCGGACCCTGACACTGGGGCCTTCGGTGGAGCTCCCTATGGGGCCACGAAACGTGTGAGGGGTGCGCCGAAATGGAGGTGGAACCGCATGCGGACCCTGACACTTGGGCCTTCGGTGGAGCTCCCTATGGGGCCACGAAACGTGTGAGGGGTGCGCCGAAATGGAGGTGGAACCGCATGCGGACCCTGACACTTGGGCCTTCGGTGGAGCTCCCTATGGGGCCACGAAACGTGTGAGGGGTGCGCCGAAATGGAGGTGGAACCGCATGCGGACCCTGACACTTGGGCCTTCGGTGGAGCTCCCTATGGGGCCACGAAACGTGTGAGGGGTGCGCCGAAATGGAGGTGGAACCGCATGCGGACCCTGACACTTGGGCCTTCGGTGGAGCTCCCTATGGGGCCACGGAACGTGTGAGGGGTGCGCCGAAATGGAGGTGGAACCGCATGCGGACCTTGCCACTGGGGCCTTCGGTGGAGCTCACTATGGGTCCACGAAACGTGTGGCCATGATGGAGACGGCGATGATGATGACGACGATGGTGATAAGAACGATGATGATGATGATGATGCTGATGATGACGGTGATGATGATGATGATGATGATGATGATGAGAGGGAGGAGGGAGGAGGGGGAAGAGGAGGAGAGGAGAGGACGCGGGCACCGTCTCTTCAAAACGAGGACCCAACACCACAGGATGGTTGGGAACAACTGCTGACTAGAATGGCATGGCATGGTGCACAGCATACGCGCATCGAGGCTCTGATTCAAATATTCGGCTGGCAGGGAGGGCAGGACAGAGGGAAGCAGGCTCAGAACATGAGGGCAATCGAAATAATGCTGGACGTGGTCGCCGCCAGCGGCTCGGCAGCCGAAGCGACAGGTAAGGCGGCCTTGCCTATACCTGGCAGAGGTCGCCCACGCGTTGCAGATGGTTTTGAGAATGGCAGCAGCCACAAAAGGGCCGACGCGCGTGCAGGCAATTCTGAGCCTGAGCACAGCAAGGTCGATACTAGAGGCATTAACCAGAGGAAAAGCGAAACGAATTCGATTGCCCAGGAGAAAAACCGCGGAGCAACTGGGGGCCTCAGAAATCAACTTCTTCAAAATCTGTTTCTGCAACTCGTGAGTGTCC